GTGCAAAATTACCACAAGGCAGAACGACCTTGCCCAGCGATGGGAAGTCTATCCCATCGATGGGAACCCAGCGATGGTAAGGGTATACCATCGATGGGAAGGCATGACCGTTGGTGGTCATTAAAGGTTGATTCTTTCCTTGTTTGGAAGTCAACCTCCCACCCAGCGATGGGAAGCTTGTACCCATCGATGGGTAGGTGACCGTTGACTTCAAAACAGAAGAAAAATTGGCTTACCAGCGATGGTTGATTCTAAACATCGATGGGAAGCCAATATTCTGCAGATCCCAAATCTTTTCAATCCCATAAATCAAGCAAATCACTCCTTTAATGAGTTGGTCCGTTGGAGCCTAATTTTGCACTATAAAAAGGGGTGTTTGGGTCTGCTTTTCTCACCAATTCACTTCACAACATCTATACTTTCATTGCATTCAAATATCATAATTTTCCATAGCTTTCTAGAGCCACTTGTGTGAAGGTTGAGTTGTTCTTGAGCGTACTTAGTTTACTCATAATCTACTCTTTAAGAGAGTCTCGTTCTTGAGTGTACTTGTGTTCTTAGACACGTTGAGAGATAGTATCACTCTCGGTTGATTCAAAGGAAGGTCTGTTTCCTTTGAAGGATTCGTTGAGGTTCGTGTGACTCGAACTCTCAAGTTGTAACGGTTTGTTAAGCACCCGTAAGCTTAACGAGTTAGTAGTGTAGCTCGAGAGAGTCTCTCGGGAGGCTGGATTAGCCACAAGTTGTGGTGAACCAGGGTAAAATTCGGTGTGCCTCTTACTCTTCTCTTTACTTCTCTTTCAAATTTTTAATTCCTGCGATTTCTCCGATCAAACGCTATTCACCCCCCCTTTAGCGTTGGTCTTTTATTCTAACAGTGCTTAAATGTCCATGACTTTAGTCTACTATGTTAGTTCCATATTGTGTTGACATTATTTTTTTGACAAACGAATAGGTTTACCTAAAATTATTTTAGATGTTTTATTTAGACTTAGAGTCCTAGCATGTACAGAAAGAGAAAGAGGAAAGAGCTTGAAGAGAAAATTCTAATCCTACTTGGTTTACTATTATTGAGGAGAAAGCCATGGTTGAGACTCCTAAGTACATTGTAATATGGTTTTTCAATTCCATATATTATCTTCGCCTTCACTTACGATTTTGGGGGGTGAGAATACGAAAATATAGAAGCAGATCCGATCAAAAAAAGGGAAGGTGTAGTTTTTGATACTTCAAATTTTCTGGACAACCTGCACAAATTTGATCATCGCCAAAGGTCCGATCGTTGGATTTTGCTGAAATTTTTAGAGAGTGTTCCCAACACATAGGGCTTCAATCTGTTCAAAGTTCACGTCAATCAAAGGTACAGATCTTTTGTTATTGAAGTTACAATCTAAATATTGCGCTAGTTTATTGCAAAAAAAGCAGTTGTGGGGAGCTTAGAAACCATTGAGTCGGAGATGCATGAAGATCTACGATGCAAGAAGCAGCGTGTCATTCCCGTTGAAAAAGAGAAGCAGTGTGTTAAAGACAGTGCTGGAACATGCTGTGCTTTTCTAACTTTCTACAGTGATGACGATGACTCTGATGGTGACGTTGATCCAAAGGAGATGCTTATAATTGTTGAAGAAAAATTTCAAGAGTCTCTACGGGTCAACAAGAAAAAATATTTAGAAAATGATAGTCTCAAACATGAACTTGCTGAACCTAAACGCAATGTGGAACAACTTACTAAATAGTTACAGAGATACAAAGGTAAAGTTACAACAGAGGATGACACCAAGGATGATACGGAAGATGACACAGAGGTTGACACAGCAGAAGAGCTAGTTATTCTCCAAAGAAAGTGGGCAGAACTTCTTCAAGCTAACAAGAAAACTGTCTTGGAGAATCATCAGCTTGTTACCGAGCGGAATAGAATAAAGGACGATATTTCAGAATTAGAAAAGAAGATTGGAGGCTTAGAAGGGCAACAATATAATCTCAAGTATGAGTTAAATCAACTCAATAATTATCAAAAATGGGTGAGGAGTGCTGGAGCAAAAGCTATTGAGGGACAAGTGAATATTTCAAAATTCTATGGAGACAAGACGGGTCTCGAATTTTCATGTTCCGAAAGCAACAAGACCCCAAGGAAGTTGCTCAAAAGGACCCACAAAGAAGAAAACTAGAAGCTTCCAAATCTACTGGAACATCTTTTGTCAGACCCGGTGAAGCATCTCATGAAGCTTCTGCTGGAACGTCTTATGCAGCACCCTCTGTAAAAAGGCAAAGACTTATGACACAATTTAGTATGAGAAGACACAAGGATCATTATCCTAAACTTGAAAGGTATTCTTATACTAATGTATATGCTAATTATGTTTGTTTTTGTTGTGGAAAAAGGGGACACATTTACAGGAAATGCAATATTTTTAAAGAGCAAAGATATAGAAAAAAGAATGCGACAACAAAGATGATTTGGGTACCTAAGAATCAGAAAAAAAAAAGGTGATAATCTTTGTGCGAAGGATGTTGGTCATGATCAATGCCATATTGGTAGTGCAAGTATGCATCAAGGAGAAATGAAAATAGATCATTGGGCTGTTAAGAGTGCTGAATCATCTCATAAGTGTGATGAAGTAACACCTCCCAGTCATAAGAGTGTGAAGTTTATGGCTAGGAAAAATCAGGCATTGGACATGTGTAAAAGAGCATTTGATGGGAATTGGTTTAGTATACTCAGATCCCACTTAGGTCTGTGCAGACCTATATCTACCTGATCAAGAGGATGCTCAAAGAGGTGTTTTGTCTCCAGCGTGGAATACCTTAGAGCATAGATATCTTTGCTGGTTATATACATGTCCTTTAATTTTTGCAGATTATTACTTTTTCAGATGGATCGTCCAAGGGGGAGTCGCTCAAGTATGGCTCAAGTTGATGTGACATAGTCTAGGTCTATTTTGATATTCATTGTTGTAATAATCAAGCTTGCTTGAATGTTACTCTTCTCTTTTTGCCTCACTATTCTTAATAAAACCTTTGGCATTTTTCTGCAAAAAAGGGGGAGAAGAGGTTCAAAACAGCTGAGATTCATTTTTGTCAAAAAAACTTACAAAAGGGAGAGATTGTTAGTTCCATATTGTGTTGGCATTATTTTTTTCAAAAACGAATAGATTTATCTAGAATTATTTTAGATGTTTTATTTAGACTTCGAGTCCTAGCATGTGCAGAAAGAGAAAGAGGAAAGAGCTTGAAGAGAGAATTCTAATCCCACTTGGTTTACTATTCTTAAGGAGGAAGCCATGGTTGAGACTTCTAAATACACTCTAACAGGGTTATTTTATTCGATATATTATCTTCACCTTCACTTAAGGGGAGAAGGTGCAGTTTTTGATAGTGTAAAGTTTCTGGACAGCCTGCACAAATTTGATCATCAACGAATATCCAACCGTTGGATTTTTCTAAAATTTTCAGAGATGGTTCCCAATACATAGGGCTTGAATCTTTATAATTTTCACGCCAATCAAAAATACGAATCTTCTGTTATCGAAGTTACAATCTACATATTGCCGCTGGTTTATTGTAGAAAATGCAACTCTGATTTTGTCGATGATCAGACTACCAAATCTTGTCCGATCGTGTTGAAATTTTAGAAGAAGTCTAAGGACTCGGGGAGCTTCAATATGTACGGTGGAGATCAAATTCTAACGGTTCAATCTTGATTTATGAGCTTCGGATCAGCCTGCATATTTTTTGTAGATCAAGGCAGAATCTTTGTTTAAATGTGTACTGGAATCTACGTCCTTGAAGAAGATCTTGGAGAAGGTGTAACAAACCGTGGTGATAGATGCAAACACAGTTTGTCGTCAAGTCATTCGTAAGTAGAAAAATCAATACATTAGAAGGTTCTATTGTGGTTGATTGTGTAATTCATACGATGATTTAGTGGAAGGGCTATTACACGGACAAGGACCCCGCAGACGTAGGAGAATGCTGCATTATCTTCTCTACAACATAGTTGTTTGATCTGTTTGCATAGCTTTCAATTGGTGATTTCTCTGCACCCCACAAACTTACATACTGAGGATGAATATTAGCCAAGTAGGTTAAGTATAGTGAGAACAATTAAGATCTGAATTGAGGAAATGAATAGATTAATCATGAAATTCTATAATGATACTTGATGGGTGTATTTCACCCAGTACCGGTCCAAGGATGGGATTAAAAATACTTGACCGGTCAAGATGAAAATTCGGGAAGTTGACTGGTATACTTCGAGTAGGCAACCAGTCAAATTACTCGACTCTCCTTGCTGGTGCCAAATTTCCATAAGTTCGTCTCATGGGAACATAACCGGTATGGTTTCTACGGTTCGGAAGTGTCGGCATGAAAAAGTCCAATGAAGGTTGGACTGTAGCGGCCAAATTCAACAAAGGATCAGGGAAGATGTTCGAGCAATCTGTCAAATACGCTACGTGATAAGAGAGTCACCTTCCTTGCTAGATGACAAGCCACTAGGAGATAGAGGCAATCACCTCGTGCCTCCTAGGAACGTGCCCTGACGTGGAAGTGCGACGCCTTGTCCCCCATTGATTACTATAAATACTTGTGTAACCTTCAAAAGGAGGGATCTGAATTCTTCTCACTAAAACTCTTGTGTAAAATCTCTCGTGCACTCTACTATATTCAAATAACAATTGGGCTACAAGTGTTTCTACCTACAGTCCTCTCGGTTACTTTGTGTATTTTTACCTTTTACTATCTTTAATCCAGTAAACGATCCTAGACCCGGTCTAGAACTGTTTACCCAGTTAGGTAATTTACACCATCAATACTTATTTATTTTTCAGATATTGTGTGATTTTATATATTGATGCATGCTAGTTCATGAATTGGTCCTAGTGTTAGATATTTATTCACTTAGCTTTAAGCTAAACGTGTAGTCCTTGTTATCTTTTACTGCGCGCATGTAAGAATGAGGGATTAGTAGAACATCCTACATGTCAGTGATGCCCCGCGAAGTGGATGGCCCGAAGTTGTTGGAATTTGAACTAATTACTCTCTTGACTTTATCTTATATAAATTACAAGAATGTCTAAATGATATTATTTTAAAGGCTTCCGCAACGTTTGATTTATTTTACACCGATCAAATTATATTTATTTTGAAATTAATACAAATGGATGTTTGAATTTAAATATTTCAAATTTTTTTTGGATGTGAATAATAAATTGTTAGCAACCCGATTCACTTACTCGTTGGTTCAGGTTACGTGAATTGCAGTGTTACACAAAATTAAAAATTAAATTGACATAATGCGAAAAAACAAAATAAGAGCGATAAATAGTAAAAAAAACACAAGTACTCGATTTTAAAAAAATAACTACTTGCTTAAAAAAATATAACATCACTGCCCAAGTAATCGGATGCACTTCGAAGCCACTTCTGGCTACACTAAAAAAAATTAGAAGTACTTCACAAAGAATTAAATATCCCCTTAAAAAGCGCATACAAAGTGCAAAATGCATATTAGTAAAAAAATAAAATTATAACTATTCGATTACATTTAAAACTAAACAAAAAATTTAAAATACATATGAACATTTCATTGATTTTATTTATTCCTTAAATACTTTTAACCTTTAATTAACAAAAAAATAGAAATTTTAAAACAAATGAGCAAAAAATAAAACTGAAATCAAAAAGTAAAAAAAGATTAAATGAAAAGAAAGAGAGGAAGAGAGAAGGAAGAAAATAAAGAGAGAAAAAAGAAAAAATTAGCGTGATAGCAGTGGGGGAGAACATGCTCATCACGGTCACNAACCAATAACCGATCCAAACTGATATGTAGATCACCACAACACAAACAAAACGTAGATGATACAGCATAAGTTACTGTGAAATATGACTTGTAGGGTCCCGTAACATCTTTTGTTTCATCATAGAATTAAAAAAGTAGTAAATGACACAACAATATGTTTACATAGTTCAGAGCAAACTCTCCTACTCTACGGGATCCACATATGTGTAACATGCCTTCAATAAATTAGCGTAATAGATTATACTAATCCTAAACTATAAAACACTTCTTTATCTTTATGACAAAATCTAGCTTATGCATGGTTTCTAACTCATACCTTGTTTAAGTCCTCTTCAATGGCATGTTACAACTTCTTCAAAACCTTCCCCAAAGACGTACTTACAGCCCTTCTCCAGATCAATAAGATATTCAACTTCTGGACAAGATGACGAACATGAATGTCATAGGTTGTGAACCAGTTCGCCCAGTACCTTTATTCCGTGGTTTCTGTGATGAAACTGAGCTTCAAAACATCACGCAAAGATATGGACGAAAGGTGTGATCTCTTTATATATGTGAACTCTCTCAATGTAGCCTCTCAGATTTTTTCTTGTGTATTCAGCTCGTCAATCTGTGAGGCAAGGCATGGCTTATATAGTGAATAGAAAAACCCTTATGGAGTTCATCTAGGAAACTTCTTGTGCATCAAGTTTTCTTGGGTAGCAAGTCATCTTGTGCAGCAAGTTGCCAAGCACATTCTTTTTTCCTCAGAACTTGCGCACAAGATATAGAAGCTTCCAAATACCGTAGGACACCTTTTTAGAATACGTTGTATTCCATCAAAATATACACTAGCTGGAATTTCCAAAAAAGATAGACTCTTTCGTTGAGTAGGATTCCTTCACGGTATGATGACAAACCAAGTGATGCAGCACATGCTTCAGCAACATGATAACGAACAAGATGTTGCAAATTTATTCTAACACAAAACTACTAAACAACATCTAAGATATAGTCAAAAATAATCCCAACTAGAGTTAAGAAAACTCGTCTAACATAATATTGAGCGATGACAAACTAACACCCCATCCTTGCTTCCTGCGTGGCCATCACGATGGCCATAACGGCTCCCACACCGTATGGATAATAAGTGACATCTTTCACTCATAGGTACGCACGAGAGTCATACTACACATAATCGTCTCTCATGAGGATTGCCCAAAGTCGAATGAAAACATTATCTCTTTTAACCTCTTTGTCAAATGTGTTTGGATACCACACTTGACTCATAAAAAAATATGCCAGTATTCAAAAAGTTATCATCTAGTTGTAATTTATAATGCTGAGTATGATTTATTTGGCTTATGGTGGCTAGATTTGTTCTTGCCTAAGTAAGGTTGGTTCGTCTTATTTTGTAACCTATTTTTTTGTTCTTGGGGATTAAGTTTCAAAGATCTAGGTTTCTCTCATATATATTGAGCTCTTGTACTTGTAATCTTAGCACTATAAGTAAAAAATAAATTCCTCGTGTTACAGACGTGGATTAAGAAAACTGAACCATGTAAAAATTTTGTTTGTCGTTTGTATTCTATTTCTCTTGATTCTAGAAGATATCTATGTGTGTGTGCGTTGTGTTTTTAAATCCCAACAAGTGGTATCAGAGCGAGGTTGCTCAACACGAACACAAATTGCTAGAAATTCCTATCCAGGTTCTTGTGAAGTACAATGTGTGTGTCGACATAGAGTTCTGAAGGAGGCAAATGTTGAAACACGGGTTTATCGTGTTTTCGTACTAAAGCCG